CAAGGCAGAATGCCAAAATTACCCACTCAGGCAAGAGAGCTGCATCGCCTCAACTTGCGTGGCTCGGCTGTATTATCCAAGGTGCTGTCTTCCGCGCGCCATCTCTTGCGCATGGATTCCGACATTTCGTCAGCAAGCTCTTGGCCACTTGTGGCTTCCAGTTCCTCTTCTAAATCTTCGGCCATGGCGCAACCTTCAGCCACCTTCACCTGTCGGCCAAACAATGCAAATTAGTTTCTCCATACTCAACCTGGCCTTGTCGCCGGTCAAGTAGCCGCAGGCGACGACAGTTTGGCTTAGCAGCCATTTAATGCGTGGATCGACCCCTGGCTTCTCAGAGACCAGTTGTCTCAAGTCTCGCTCGCCTTGGATGGCAGAAGCAAAATTTAAAAATTCATGTCTGTCGGGATGCGAAACAAAGCCCTAAGATGCTGACGTTTCTCCACGAACAGCGGTTGCTGCTTGAACCGTCTGACAATCCACTGCCATTTTTGTCTTGGCGCCATGTTCAGCCTTGGAAGCTACTTTTTGTTGTTAAACCTTGAGGCTTGCAACGCACCTCGGGCAAGGCTTCTTCAATTATAGAGTGAACTGACGGTGAGAAATGACAAATGCAGCATGTAGGAGATTACTCTATTTTCTGCAACAGTAGGAGGTCCTAAGACCACCTTCAGTTGTTTACAGTTTGATGCGCGCAGGAGTCCTTTCGAGCCTGGCCTCCTTCACTGCGGCATTTGGATTCTGATGCGGAGCCTCCTTCAACTGATCTTGCGCTGGAGACTATTCATTTTCAATTGATGGAGGAGGCGTGGGCTATCCTTTTGAAATTATTTTAAACTTAGCCACTCGAATCAGGGGAGCCAGAAAGCGGTTTCCTTCTGTTTTCGCTTTTCCAAACCAAAGATTGCAATCAAAGACGGCGTAGCAGCAGCTTATTGATCTTTTCCACACAAGAGTCTCACATTGTAATCATTCTTCCGGCCCTGCCTCACCGAGCCTTAGGCGACCCAGGCCCAGGTCCAGCGGCCCCTGCCATAACCATTGGAGCCGCTGCTGCCACCATCATCATTCCAATCTTTCCACTCATCCCAACGAGAGCCCTTCCAGAATGATGCGTCGTTGTAGGAGCCGTCAGGCTTCTTCTTATCATTGTTCTTCTTGCGCTTCTTGGAAGCTTGCCATTGTAAGTGCAAATCCTGAAGCGAGAATATTCAAAATGTCGTGCAAATCAGCCGAAGCAAAAAACATATGAAAATCAATGAATTTGAATGGCCAAGGGTCACACTGCACGTTAGCGCAAATTCCCTTGCCACAGTAGGCAACTTGCTGACAGCGATTGCATGGCCGCAATCCAAGTGTGAGCCCTGGTGCTGCTGCTGCTGGCTCCGCCTCTTTGCCATTCGGGTGCGCTGCAGGATCGTCTGTCTTCTTGTCATCGTCGCCCGTGAGATCCACAGATCCTGGCATTGGCGCTGGCGCTGTATCTTCTTCCAAACGATGATCCGGCGGGCAGCAAGATTCATTTGGAGCTGGTACTGTCACCATTGGCGCTGGAACCATGGAACCCCAACCGGGCCAACCGGGCCACTGACACATGGGCTGCGTCTGGAAGTGCCCACCATGCAAAATGCACGGAATGAACTGTGCTGGGGCCACTGGGTATCCGGCATTCCACTCTAAGTGGAGGTGGCCCTCAGCCTCCTCCATCTGTGGACCTGGAGGTGGTGATGGTCCTGGGGGTGGCTCATTGTGGGCCGGTCGGGAACCACGAGGACTGCCATCTCCAGAAGCATCCCACTCACGATGGGCGGCCAAAATGGCCATCAGCTTCATCATCAACAATTGGATAGCTGCCCACATGGCAACCTATAGCTTGAAACACACGGTGCCGACTTCACTTTGAACAGCTATGCGCTAGAAAAGAAACATTGCCATCAAGGAGCTGAAGCGCTGAATGACATCATCTAGCAAATTGAGTGATCGGCTGCTAGAGTGGTACAAAGCAGGAGACATCACTTGCCTTCCTTCTGCTCTCTGATTTCTGAATGTTTATGATATAGGATATCAAAAACATAGAAACGTCGTGTGCGTTTGCATGTTTCAAAGGTTGAAAGCTGATATGACATGACAGCATCATTTTTCAGTGGGATGGTGAGATATTGAAGAAACCAAGACACCAATTCAATCACAACAAACAGCCTTGCTAAATCCACCCCAGATTGGCGATGGATGATGCCCTAGCTGAGGTGGAGTGGGTCCGCGCTTTGTGGAACGAGGAGCTCAACCCGGCCACGAGCGTGATGGATGGCACGCGCCTTGGTGACCAGCAGTCGGCATTGGTGGTCCGCCTGCCTGAGACTGAAGATGAGCAGGTGAGGTCCATCAGGGCGGTGGACGAGAGCACTGGAGCCCATGTGACGGACGCCAAAGCTTTGTTTGATTTGTTGTCCCGCCGAAGTGGGAATGCTGGTCATGACCGCCGTGCTCAGGTGGACGTGGCAGTGATTTTCATTTCTGCCAAGACCCTGAAGGTCAAGACTTACTGGGTCCCTGGCAGTGAAATGTTGGCAGACCCCCTGACCAAAAGGCTGGGGAACTCAACTTTGCTGCGGAAAGTGATGGCTTCCGCACGCTTCGCCTTGACCCGTCAGGCAGTCCATGAAAGGTCCCCCTGAAGGATGTGAAACCAAACGCGCACTCCTCACGTCCTGCCTTGAACCTGCTGTGTCTTCGTTCTGGCCCGAACCCAACCAGGGCCCTTGAGCCTTACTTTTCATAGAAAAGGAGTCCGGCTTGCGTCGTATTTCACCCTAGAATACACCGGAAATAGGTCTGAAATTTGCATTTGGTGTGGAAACAACACTGAAATTTGAAATAACACTGATTTAGGACAACGAAAGTGTTCGCTTAAAGTTTAAGCGATTCTGCACGTGTGGAAAAGGCAAAGGGAAAGTGGGCTGAACCAAAAGCGAGCTGCACAGGGACAGCAGGGAAACACACAGAAGGCAGTATATTTATATACATGATAATGACAAGTGCAACATGGCAGACCTGGTTTGGAATAAGTTATATAAAAGTTATATAAATGCTTGTTTCTATCTTTAATATATATATATATATATATTTGTGCATGCACCTTGGCGATTTGGCAAGTTTTGCCTTCACATCCTTCACTTCATTTGCGAAGCCTCGGCATGTAAGGGTTACTAGTTAAGTTTCCCGAAACATCTAGGAACCAGGCGTCCATACTAGTAGCTTAAGTAATGTTGGATCTTGATTGGTACAAGGGACACCCCCCCTCAAACAAATGGGGGACCTCTAAAAAGAACTACCACCAAAACAAGTCTGGGTTCCTAGGAGGATTCCTTTTGTAATTGATTGTAGTATTCATGTTCCTTTCTCTCTCTTTGTAGTAGTAGTTGTTGTTGTAGTTGTGTAGTATGTAGTCGTAGTAGTAGTAGTAGTAGTTGTTGTTGTTGTTGTTGTAGTTGTAGTAGCAGTAGTAGTAGTAGGAGTGGCAGTAGTAGTAGTTGTAGTAGTAGTAGTTGTTGTAGTAGTAGCAGTAGTAATTTGTAGTTGTAGTGGTAGTAGTAGTAGCAGCAGTAGTAGTAGTAGGAGTAGCAGTAGCAGTAGCAGTAGCAGTAGAAGTAGCAGTAGCAGTAGTAGTAGTAGTAGT